TTGAATGCGAATGCAATCAGTTCTGTATATTGAGGACCAGCTGTTGCCATCAATCTAGGTCTGTTAGGCCGCGTTCATAGTTCGCGACTCGGGAGATTAGGATAGTAGGCGACAGGATATTAGGATAGTAGAGTAGGAGATTGCGCTGACAAGATTGGATACGTATCGATTGAAATCGCTGGAGAGTAGTAGATTGGGCGACTTCAAGCGAATAGATCAATACATATCTAATCTTGTCAGCGCACTATCCTAATCTACTACTATCCTAATCTCCCCGTCAATACATATTTTTCATCGCGTACTATCCTAATCTCCGGAGTCGCGAACTATGAACGCGGCCTTTGATTGGGGTATTTCTAGAAACGGAATTCTACCATAGATAATTCCTTAATCAAAGTCCAGAAGATCCAGCTATGATCAACCTTGTCCTAGCATACGATACGCTTTTGACGCTAATCCTCCTAAAGGAATCTTTCACGGAAAAATCATGATTCTATTTCAGCCATAAATCACTGGCTTGAGACTCATCATCCACGATAAGAATGAAAAGAACAGAAAAATTGCATTTGTTTTGGTAAAAAAATTCGAAAAACCGAAAGGGCTGCTACGCGTTCAAAGTACCGCCGGACATCTGTCACAAATGCTGGCGACGGGGATGCTTCCACTTGGTTCTTGGAGTGCCTTCACTAGAAACTTTCTGGCCTTTGACTTATTGCATTCACATCTCACACTTCTATTCTATCGATCGATTTGTCTCTACTCTCCAAAATCGCGCGCTTTAACCCGATTCTTTCATTGCGTCGCCTGATACGTAGGCCGCCCAGTGCGGACTTCTTCCATGCCCCGCCTTTGGCTCCGCCCGAATTACCTTCGATTGTCCATAGAATGGATTTTCGTGAGTTTGTTTCTCTTCGGAAACCGAACCTTCATGCGTGCATCTAGTGATCACAACTGATACATTCATGTTGAGAAAGAATGCAAGAACTTTTCGCGAAATATTCCTTTAACGGCAAAACCTTCGTCACATAATCA